CCAGGATAATTTTCTCAAAAAGCTTCCCCAGGATTGGGGTAAGACTAACTGGCCTATAGTTTCCCGGGTCCTCCTTCCTCCCCTTTTTGAAGATGGGAACCACATTGGCCCTCTTCCAGTCCTCTGGCACCACACCAGAGCACCACAAGTGCTCGTACAGCCGTACCAGGGGTCCCGCAATGACCTCAGCCAATTCCCTCAGCACTCGGAGGTGGAGATCGTCTGGACCAACTGATTTGAATACATCCAGTCCCTCCAGAAGTTCCCTAACTAGTTCCTCACTAACCCTTGGCCTGGGTGTGCCTCCCCTGGGGCCTGAGGGGGGCCCGGGGGGTGGCTGTTCCAGTCCCTGCTCAGGAAAATGGAGGCAAAGAAATCGTTCAATAGGTTAGCTTTGTTGTCTGGTGTGACGACCAAATTTCCTAGTGTGTCCTGCAAGGGCCCCACATTACCTGGAACCTTCTTTTTACCACCTATGTATTTAAAAAAGGACTTCTTGTTGCATGGCTGATCTCAGGGGGTGCACCATGTGCACCTGCGTGCACCCTTTATGCATCGCCAATGCTTCAGCCCCTTCCCAGGCACATGGTGGAGCTGTTTTTTTGAGTTGATGCTAAAGGTGAATTGGAGGCTTTGGAGAGAGGCACAAATCCCTCTCTCCCTCCCCCTACTCCTGCCCTCCCGGCATCTGAACTCCCTCTCCATATCTGAGAACGGGCACCTGGACAGAAGAAAGGGTAAAAATATGCATCAAGCCAGGCCCTGTCTGGGCACATGGGAAGATGTCATGGGCTCCCTGGTGCTCTGGTCAGGCTCAGAACGTGCCAAGGTCTCCGGATTTCAAAGGCTTTTGGGTGTTTCAGGGCAGCGGGATGTGAACTCACCTGGCAGAGCAGCGAGAAGGAAGAGTCACTTTGCCCGGGACTGAACAGTGCTGGTCTGAAGGAGTGACTGCTGTGGGGCACAGCCCCCTGGACATTCCCTGCTGACCCCAACCTTTCTGGGGCCAGAGGAGGACAGCAGTTATCAGGTGTTTGTGGCTCTGAATTTGCCTCACTTGGCCTTCACATGTCCCTTCTGAGTCCATCACCTTCCCCTCCTGGAGACAGGCCTAGGAAAGAGCCTCAGCAGAAGAGGGTACTGGTAGCAAGGAAGTTGCAGGGGCTGGGCCTAGAGGTGGCCCAGGGTCACCTGTGGCAGGCAGGAGGGTCAGGGGTGGGGGTCAGACTCCATGTTGGGAACGGGGGTAGCCATGGGATGCAGATCTCTCCCCACAGACCCAAGAGCCCCTCCCCCCCAAACCTGCCTATGGGGCACCTGGCACTGGGTATCAGGGGCCTTGACTCTACCCCTGCTGCCCCCACCCACTCCTCCCCCAAGCACTCATCTGGGAGCAGGGCCTGGAGGAGCAGGGGCCAGACCAGGGTGTCATGATGCTGCAGGAGGGGAGCCCAGGGCCCAGGAGGGAAGCCCAGCTCCTGGCACCAGTGGTCCTGAAAATCCCAGGGCAGGTCCTTGAGCAGGATCTTCCTGGGCTTTGCATAGGAGGAGTGTGCCAGGGCCTGGTCTGGGGAGGCCAGGGCAGATGGGAGGAGGTGTCTGCCTGTTTGTCCCTGGGCGAGACCGCTCTGTCTGCTGGGAAAGCCTGGGTGAGCTCTGTAGGATTCATCATCACACTCCGTTGGATGTGAGCATTGTTGGGCCCATCCCTGGGACTTGGGCTCATGTGACGAGCCCACAAGTGTCCTGTTGGCCATTCAGTTGTACCAAAACTATCACCATGCCTGTCCCTCCTGCCCCTTCACCATCTGGAGTGACAGGATTGTCAGGGATTGTCCCCCTGACCTGCATGTTTTCATCCCATCCCCTTCCTGGGGGCAGGGGTGGGTGCAGGGGCAAGAGTCTCATCAGGAAAGTATTCTCCTAGTGACTGCACCATGCTGGGGTGCTGAGTTATATCTGAGCAGGGGAAAGAGGAAACCCCTCACTGGGGATCATGTGGGGGTTCCTGTAGGTGTCTAAGGAAATGGGAGCTTTTTCCCTCCACCTAGAGCAGGGTTGGAGGTTTAGGAGGCATTTGTAACACTGGATTTGCACATGGGGAGGGGCACATGTGCATTTGTGTGTGCCTGCACCTGCCTGTTGCTGCTGTGTGTGTGTGCACACGAGTGTCACTGAGGGGTGTGAGTGTGTATGTGTGCAGGTGTGTGTGGATCTATGTGTGTCCCTGCTAAGTGCAGCACTAGGAGAGGGGAAGCAAAAGGCACTGTCCACCTGCTGTGCCATGACCAGGACCAGCAGCACCAGGCAAGGGAAGTCGCATTGGAGGCAGGTCCATGCTAGCCCTTGCTCTGGCCTGTTGTTCCCAAGATCCTGTCATTCCTCCTGCACAGAAAGGGGCTCAGGCCAAGCTAAGCTCTGGCCCCAGGGAACCGCTCTGTGTTCCCAGCCCCAGTCACTGCCCTGATGTGCCCACAGGTCACAGATCAGCAAGGGCACCGGTGCGGACCTGGCACCAGGGGCTCCTGTTTAACCAGGATCCCCTGGACCAGGGTTATCCCTGTTGTTAACTTCCAGCCAGGTGGGCAAGCAGCAGCTCCTGGAAGGGTGGCAGGGCCATGGAGACAAGCAGAAGCCTGGACATGTCCTGCCTATGGCCAGCAGGACCCACCTGCCTGAAGCTGAAGTGCTTCCCCAGAGCCTGAGAGCAAAGCCAGGGTATCCCAGGAAAGACACAAAGGATCTTGCCTACAGCCACCCTGTCCTGGGAGCACAGTGTTTGTGCACAGGAATTCAGCACCAGAGGCTGGGCCAGGACCCTAAATACCAGTGGAGCTGGTCTACCTTGTGTGCAATATACTGGTGCACGGGGAACATGATTGCGGAGCTGCCCACAAGGAGAATAAAGGAGAACATGCCCAAAGTGTTCAGGATCTAAGGTCGTCCTGAGCTGGGAACATCCCCAGGCCAGACCAGACCAAAGGTGCCCGCAGCCAGAGACAATCATAAAGGGGTTAGGGGCCCAGGACAAAGCAGCCTGTGCCGGGCCCCCTTAGCACAGGTGGCCAAGCCATGAGCCACTTTTCAGCACACCGCGGGGGGAGTGGCAAGCAGCCTGATGCAAAGCCGGTGGCATGCCGCTTCCCAAGTACCAGTGCCGCACCACCGCCACACACTGCTGGCTTCACATCTGGCCCTTCCCAACACGACCACTCCACCCGGCTCCATGGGACCCCCCCAAAGTGCTTGCCCCTGCCCACAGCCCCAGCACTCAGCACCTTGCCCATGTGGGAGAGAAACCCCTGGTTGCCATGGCAATGGTGTTGCTCCCCGCAGTGTGACATCACAATCCCAAACCTCGGTGTCAGGCCCTGGCTCCTCCCAGTGCTCTTGTGGCTTCACCAGAGCCAGTTGCTCATCACAGTCACAAGTGTTTCCAGTCATTTCAGTTGTCTAGAGTTAGTTGCTTAGTTGGTTAGGTTGTTCATTAGTTGGTTAGATCATTAATTAGTTTGTTAGTTCACTACTTCATTAGTTCATTAGTTTCTTAATTCATTAGTTCATTACTCTGTTAGTTCATTACTTCGTTAGATTGTTATATCGTTAGTTAGCTAGCTATTTAGTGAGCTAGTTGTTAAGATTTTTTAATCTGAGCATGCAAAGTGTATGCTTTTGGAGACGTGAGTGACCTTTCTCATTCAGCCATGGGGGCAGCGCTGGGGACACCCCACAGGCCCTTCACAGGGACTTTTGGGAGATGTGGCAAGTTGCCAGCAGGGGCTCAGGTTGTGCAAGGGCCCAGGACTCGGCCCCATGCCTTGTCCCTCCTCTTTCCTGTCAGTCTCCTCTTTCCTTCAATAGCAAGTCCCACAGTGATGGGCGAGTGGCAATGGGGACAGACACTAGCAATTACTAGAAGCCTCTAGTCATGGACCTGCCCCTAGTCACAGATCTGCACATACAGAGACAATGACTGTATGATGGTTATTTCGTACTTGAAACTGAGGCAGGCATGTGATTAGGCAGCTGCACTTATGACTGAGCAGGCCTATTTCAGATCAACTATGCTCATCCTATGTGCAGAGTGCACTAGAAAAGGCACCTTAAACAGCCTGTGTCATGTCACCTGCCTGGGATCCGTCCAAGTCAAGCACTGAGGTTTCCAACCTGGACTGTCCGCACCCTGGTGCACAGCACTAGCAGTAACCAACTGGATTGAAGGACAGCACTTGTACCCAGAGAACTGGATGGATTTCTGTTCCTGAACAAGTGTTCAGAATATGATCTCTTCATCACAAAGCAATTGACTGAAACAATGAAACTTATGATAGGTACCTGCAGATATAGTCACGTTTCATGTTCCTTGGCTGTCTCTTCTATCTCACACCCTCCCCGTCAAGTCTCCAAAGAACTGCTTATATTCAATTCACTACAATTTCATTGAGGAAATGAATGACCACCAAAGGCCAGGGCTTATATTGAGAAGGCCATTTTGGAGTGTGGGGAAAGAACTGAATGATGCAAAGCCTTGATAGCAAGGAAAATGGATCCAGCAATGGAAGACTATTGACACCATTAATAATTCTCTTATCATGGACCCTGAATCTAATCCTGCATAGCTGGACTACATTGAACAAGGCTCATAGTAGACAACTGCCTACTTTGTAAATGGAATTTTATTAAAGAACCCAAGTATGAGTGTGGCAAAATCCAAACTGTAGCACACACCATGGAGGAATGTCCTAATTATCTTTTTCAGTGATTGCACTGAAGACCTGGACCAGGCTACTGATGATGCCTTGCCAAGGATATCAAGCCTAAAACTGTCACTGTAGTCTTATCCCCTAGTGCCACTGTTTATAGGTTACTTGGAACTTGTTCTGTTATTCTGTTGCTGTATTACATAAGAATAAATCACAAAGGAGCAAATGGAAGCCATTGTGCAAGCACCCGTGCCCAAAACCCTAGCTCCTAATTCACTATATCATAGTGCATGCCTGGACCATATAATAGTGCAACCCTGGCATCTAATTGGCTGTATCATAGTACATTGCAAAGTCCACCTCAGCATGGCTACAACCAGAGCAGTGCAGGCCTCCAGCTGCCATAATGGCCATAGCAGAAGTGCTCACGTCATGGCCTGGTCAGATTCTAATAATCTGCAGGTTCTGCTGAATCCCTGTCATCAACTATCCCATGGAGGGCATAAGAAGAAGATGAGGAGAAGACCAGCCCCAAAGGCTTCTGGACAGATCCTTTTTTGACACGTTCCATCATGTCCATCCATATGGCCACAAAATGATGTAAGGAAGAGAAGCAACCAAAGAAGAAGTTCAGTCTCAGGTGTTTGAAAAACCCTGCTAAAAGATACCACCTCCCAGAGACAAAAATGCCAACTGTCCTGATGCTTTTGATACCACTCATCACTCAAGAAAGAGTGAGAGCTTCAAGAAAGGCAGCCATAAGGCGTGCCAAAAATCTCAAGTCTTCTCCAAAAGGAAACATCAGGACTCATTTGATGAATTTGAAGGCTTGATCTCTATCAAAACTGACAGACCACACAAAAACATGAACTTAAAATAAAAGTACCTGCATTAGTGATCTTCAGTAGAAATCATTCACTCAGTGGTCCCTGCCACACAGACAGTTTTGCCCACATAAGTGAAGAATGCATTTCCCCTTTTCTGTGCGTTAGACAAAGCTTCCACTGAATAGGTGTGTAGTCTGTAACTTGTAATAAAAAGACAGGATACTTTATTATGCCAGTGCTGTAAATCCTTATGAAATTTGCTCACATAAGGGCTTCACTGCAAAGAAGCTGCTTTGGTTTGCCTTAGCACATCATTCTGCACATTCACTTAATCATTGCTTTGCATTTTCCCTGAGGGTTTTTCCCCACTGTACTTGCCAGAGGAGTCTGATGCCTTCCTCAGGCTGGAACAGGGCCAGGTTTCAGATGACAGATTACATTAATATTTCTATGCAGGTACTGTCCATGTGGGATCTTTCACCTCAGAGATCCAGCTCCCTGTCCTGATACATGCAGAGATCCCAGTAAGTGTGAGGACATGGAGTCCCTCAGTGCTGTGGCAACTTATGGGATCCAAGCCTTCCCTCTTCCCACCTATTGTCACCAGATGCACTCAGCTCCATCAGGCCTAGCTGATGCAGCAGGCTTCAGGGAGGCTGTGGGCTGTTCCTGGCAGGCTTCTGTCCTGCAGGGAGAGGAAGCTGAGGGCGGAGGTGTCTGCAATGCCTGCTCTGGGATCCAGGTTAGGCCTTCAGAGCTGGAGCCCTGGATTGAAACCTCCCCTGGGAGCAAGACACCCACCCTTGAGTTGCGGTTTTCTCCATGTCCCTCTTTGGCCCCTGGGGGAGTTTGTTCTCCCTCCATGCAGTGAGAAACCCAGGGAGCCACCTGGCTCCAGGCCTGGGGGGCAGCCAGGGGTTTGTGTGGTGTAGGGTTTGCATGTGGGTTTCCCAGAAGGGGTATTAGAGGGGCTGGGATCAATGTGGAGCTCTGTTTGTTCTCCTTGGAACTGAGTTGAAGGAAAGAAAGTTGTTCCCACCCCTTTCTCATCCAGCACTGGAAAGACATGGTGCATGTGCCTGCAATGAGGGAGGGGGAAGGAGAGAAAGAGACAGCAATGAGGGAGGGAGAGACTGTGTACGTGTGCATGTGTATATGCGTGTGTGTGAGAGAGAGAGTGTGAGAGAGACTGTGTGTTTGTGTGTGTGTGTGTGGGTGTGTGTGGGTGTGTGTGGGTGTGGGTGTGGGTGTTCCTAGGGTGAGTCCTACACACATTGGCCCCCATACACATGCACCCATACCCCCATCGCACTGCCATACAGACAGACACCCACAACCCTTCATTCCCTCACAAACCCCATATCCATCCACACCCCACATATCTACACACACACGCCCACATGCTCCCTCACCCCACACTCACACCCCCACACCCCACATACCCACACACTACCAGTACCCCACAAACCTATACCCATGCTCCCTACCCCCCCCACAATATACAAGAGTCCGACTTCATTTTAAGCTATTATGCAGTCCCCTCTGTGTACACAACACAAACACATGTAAACCAGGACAAAAATATTTTTTGAAATCAAATTAATGAATGTTGTAGAATATAAATTGGTATTTTTTCTGGCTTTGAGATGGCAAACCGCCTTGTTGAAAGAAGTATTTCCAGGGGCAAAGGGAGGGACTTCTGGCATTAGGGGTTAAGGTCAGGGGTTAGGAGGTGGAACTTCCAGTCCCAAGATGGTGACCGGGGGGCGGGGCACCTGTCAAGGAGAAGAGCTACCCATGCGGCCCTTGACAGCTTGCTAAATCTTGGTAAGTGGCCCTCCACCCGAAATAATTGCCTGCCCCTAAACTAAGGGCTAGGAAGCACCTTGGAAGGTAAAGACACAGAGAGACCTAGGATCAGAATCTAAGAGGTGGAGATGGAGTGCGGCTACATTGCAGAATGAGCCTCTAGGGCAGAGTAATTAGGACCCATGCATGAGGCTATGCCCATGGACTGCTTCCAAGCCATAGCACTGTGCTAAGCCTCTGCAGAAGGACCTCCAGGCAGCAGATCCATCAGCACATTTCATGACCAAACCCACATGCCCCAATCAATGCTGTCTGCCATGCCCCAGTCGGTGCTGTCTGCCTCTGACCATCCCCAAACTCTCGGTCTGATCTGAGCAGTGTCTTTACCTTGTGTTTTGGGGAAGTTGGCCTGGATTTGGGTTCATGTTGTCCTAAGCCATAGGTCTCTGCTCGGGGAAGTCCATTCTTCCACCTCCCTTGAAAAATTGGGTTTTGAAGCCCAGGCCAGGTGTAAGAATGAACTTCATCTCTGGTCTTTACCCTGTGCCAATGTGTGGAGTCACAGAAGGCCCTGCACCTATACCCTAGGCACTGAAGCTCTGCTAGGAGATTCTCTTTGTTCTTGGCCTCAAGCTCCTGAGAGCTCTGAAAGCCTGCATGGTCCCTGAGCCAGGGACATACCTACTGCACATGGCAGCACAGCTGGACATCAAGATTATCTCAGAGATGGAGACCGCTATGGCCATTTGCAACTCCATGCAGGCTGGAAACCATTGAAAAAGCCACATACAGACTCTTCAACAGCATACTGGGAACACACATAGCAATGGACCCCCATGTCTCTGCAGGACAAGGATTGCAATGCCAGGGACCTATTCTTGCCCTGAGAAGTTTCCACAGATGCCAACCCTTGATGAGTGGGTATAGCTATACCCTTGTTCAAGCTTTCCAGCTTCTCCAGCTGGGGTACCCTGATCCAGTGCAGTAGTCCATGTGCTGTATCAGGCAGAAGGAGTAGGTCTCTACTGAATACCCCAAGGCATCTCTGTAGATGCAGTGAAGTACTGAAGCTCCAATGGGGTGGGTGGCATCTGGTTTTCCAGTGGATATGCTTGTTCATACCTTTGCCTTCATAAATAAAACACCTCACAAAAGAATGGAGGAGGAAGGCCGCCTTTATACAGGGGAAATAAGTAATAGCATAAATATGAACAAAAGGGAGGAGAAAAGGCTGATGGAGAAGAAAGTGAGTCATGATGGCACTGGCTGCTGCTTCTCATGTCTTTCACCATGGCTATACCCCCCGACAGAAGGTGAGACAGGCAGTGAAGAGGGTCCCTAGGGTGCATCCTGCTGCCGGCTGGTTCCATGTGACCTTCAGAATCAGGAGCGTCTGAGAAGCCAGGGTGCTGACAGAGGGCTTCTGGTCCAGAAGCAGGTCATTCAGGACTAAAATGTAAAGAAAGAAAGCACAGATCAAACCTTTGGAACTGAGGAGAGCCCAAGAACCGCCCCCCCACACCCCTTTCCTCTGATGATGGGATGAGCGGAAATAAATTAACAGGAATTTGCTAAGCAGGAAGGACAAATGATTTTCCCAAAACATCCCCAAGAGGTCCCTCCCAAGGTGGTGGCATATAAATATTCACACTGTACATAGCAGTTTATTACTGGAGCTTCTCGCAGACTTGAATGTATTTCTTTTCACAAACCACCACCTACATCTGCCTAGTGTAGATGGAGGATGGAGGCCCACAGAAACTGAACCCTCCATGGTCACAGAAAAAAAATCTGTGACATTGAAAGCAGGTCTTCCAACTCCCAAACCAATCTCTCACCCTGGACTATCCTGCCCCTCAAGCCCCAGGTATCATAACTTGTGTCACCACTCACTACTGCAGAGTTTGTCTAGTTTTTCCTCGTTCTGGTCCTCTATCTGCCGGGCAGCAAGTCCTAGACACACAAACAGTCCATTACATCGTGCAAGCCCTGTCCTACACAGCTCCTGACTCTCTCATCACAGTGAGGCCTCACAGTGTCCCTACTGAGCATAGACAAGCTCCCACATCTCCTGGGAGGCGAAGATGAGCCAAAGGAGGTTCCATGACAAAGCTAGTGAAGAGAAAAGGGCTTGATGGAGACAGAGGTTTGATAGAGCCCTGCCTGGGGCAGTTTGCTAAGAGTCTGCTTCCCAAGGTTTCCTGCACCAGGCCATCAGGATGCCGATAGCCAAGGGGTGGATTCTTGCTGCCAGCAGGGACAGAGCAGCAGCCTGGGAATGGGATCCTGAGCCCTTGGTCAAGGGAACCTGAGGATTTGTGACTTACCAATGAACCTGACCGCTGCTTCACGGATGGGATCCTGAGGGTTCTCTATGTAGACAAGGCTCTCTATCAGGAAATCATCAGCTCGCCTCCTGTTCCTCATTAGCTAAAAGAGAGGCCCAGGAGGCATTAGGCTATTACAGACCGTCCCTTGCTCTGGGCCACATGGCAGGAGCTGAGGGAGGTCACACCCCAGAGCCCACCCCAATGTCCTGTGCTGGGTAGGAGGAATCACACAGATAAGGACAACCGCTGGCCCAACCTTCCAGTAGCTTGGGGTCAGGTATGGAGCAGAGCCTGGGAAAGGAGCCTTCCCACACCAAACTCCCTAAAAACAGGTTACCTACATCCAGTGCCATGTCAAATCTGGGGTCAGGCTTTACAGGGGCCCTTTCAGTCATTTGGAAAGCCTTTAGGGCTGCCCTTACCAGGCACTCACAGATCTTCCATGTCTCCTTCCTCTGGATAAGGGGTTGGATCTCTGTCCAACCAAGAAGTGCTGCAGCAGTGAAGAGGGTGCCCCAAGATGACTGGAAAACAGAAATGGCAGGGAGACTTAGTAGCAATGGGACCCAAAGTCCCAAGGAGTTGCTTAGAAACACAAATGCTTCCTGGCCCTTCATGGTTGTTCTCTCAGAGTCCATCTCGGTGCTGTCTCTGATTCTGGGCAAGACCTTTAGACCAGCAGCCACAGAAGGGTTCAGGTACCTGGTGCCTATAGAAGTGTTAGGCAGTGGCCAAAAGCTGTCGTGGGTAAAAATTTGCCAGTGACACTCCCCAGGCTCCCACATTTTCTACTGCTGGACATTGCCAGAGCTGCCTCGATCACAGGAGGAGCCAATAGGCCAGTGCCTGGCTCACATCTACCCTGTTAGAGTCCCAAACTGGGCCTGACCTTGTGGGGAGGTCTAAGGAAACATGGGCTGGAGTGAGCCCTGCACAGAACAGGGCCAGCAAAGAAGCAGTGACCCCCATCTTATACCTGTGAAAGTCAGTAGTTAGAGTGCTTCTGCAGTTGAGGAGACCCAGGAGCAATTCCCTCCCCTGCATGACACAATGGAAATGTGCATCTCCCAGGTGAACGGTCTCATCGCAGGAGTTGGGATCCTGTAGGGTGAGGGCTCTTGCCAGCTTGTCTGTGGAAGCTCTTCCACTGGGCAACAAGCTGAGAATTCACTGGCTGAGTAAGCAGAGTTGTACGTCTCAGGAGTAAGGGCTTTAGTTCTCACCACAGCCAGGATCAGGCTATTTTCAAGCATTTCAGTGCCTCCCAGATGAGAGAGCATTCTGAGGATTTAAATTTGACATTAGGCATCTACAGGGGCAGTTTGGCTGCACTGGGCATCAAAGTCACTTTGCAAATTCAGCTCATCATCATTTCATGGCTATCAATAGCTGCCTGGCTCTACCAGACAAGGTCCAGAGAAGTATCTGAGGTCTAGAGTCCACTTTTCCTCTTGCTGTTTGCCTTGGGACTTTGCTATTTCCTGGCTTACACTACCCATACTACCTGTGATGGTCTGGAGTCATAAGGAGATCACCTTGGCTCATCTGCTTAGGGAAGGACATGTGCTCAGGATAGCTCAGGCTAGGACAAAATGTGGCCCGGGGGCCAGATGCAGCCCACCAAGCCATTCTATTCAGCCCGTGGGGCCCCTAAAAAATTTAGAAAATTAATATTTATCTGCCCCTGGCTGCTTGTCATGCAGCCCTCGATGGCTTGCCAAAACTCAGTAAGCGACCCTCTGTCTGAAATAATTGCCCGCCCCTGGGACAGCTGGTAGCTCAAGCCTGGTGACAGATGGGGCAGGGAAGATGGTGGCCTCCATCCTCTGGTTTGGCAGCCCAATGTGATCCAAATGAAAAGGGCCCAGATGAGAAGAACCACAAAACCTCTGTCCTCCAACACACATGTCCCCTCAGAGAGGCCTCAGCTTGGATCCCAAATCACCAGGCACTCTTCAACTCTCAGCCTTCAGCTCCAGCTTTGGCACCCACCTCAGACACCTTGGGGTTCACATCCTCCAAGTGGAAGAACAATGAAACAAGACTCTTCAGGACATACTTCTTCGTGCTCTGTTTGTCCATCCTCTGCACTAACCTCAGCAGGTCTCCAAACAGGGAGATGGTGAGCAATCGAAGCCGGCTGGACACCTGCAAGCAGCCAGCAGAGCGGAGGAGAGAGAAAAAAATGTTGTTGGGGTTTATTCCTTCCAAAGAAGACACAAATAGGACTCAGTGGGATTGAAATGCCTGGTGCAGACAGAGATATTTCTGACTCTCCAGTAACCACATGTTGCTTGTTTTTAAATTGCCCTCTGCCAGGGTGGAAAGAATTGTCTGGGGTGTATGTGGCTCTGGGGGTAGGGGGGCACAGTTTTCTGGAGAGGGACAACCGAGGGTGCGGGGAGGCTGTAGACACCGACAGAACATCATTTCTGACAAACCCTCCTGCATTGCAAGGGAGAGGGCTCAGGTAGCCCAACTGGCCTGTATGCCTGCACAGTGCAGCCCATCGGGCAGAGCCTGCAAGAATTCAGCTGCTGGGGAGCAGATTTACAGAGCACCAGAAGGGATGAGGGAATGGAAGCTGTTCAGACTGGGCGAATGGGGCCGAAAGGGCAGATGCCATCTGATTTCATTTTTCGTGACAATTGCCTATTTGTCCCCCAGTTCAGATCAGCAGCTGAGGGCAGGGTTTGCTCAAACTGTAAGAAAAATCAAGGGAGTGGATTTGGGGTGGGGGTTGGAAGGCCCTGAGGTCTGCCTTTTGCTGCCACATGGTCTGCAGGGAATGTGGAGGAGCAGAAACAGGGGAGGCTAGGGGACATGAAAGGAAGAGTATTGAAATGGAGTCAGATCACTGACTGCACTATTCATTCATGGTGGAGCTGCAAGGTCAGATTTCAGTTCTCACACACACCACACACGCACACACACGCACGCACACACCCAAATGTAGGCACAGAACATGCGCAGTCTCACTCTGGCTGCCGGGCCTTACATCGTCAAAGAAGGGCAGAATCTTCTCAGCTACTAGCAGAGCAGCCCGGCTGGCTCTCCTGCTGCCCAGGGTGGTGAGGATGTGCCTGATGACCATCAACACTTTTGCAATCACATCCCTGTCTGCCTCCTTCAGCTGCTCAAGGAGCTCTGGCAGCAAGTAATGGAGTGTCACCACCTGTATGAAAGAAGGGGCTTTAAAATCAACCAGTCATCTTGGTACCAAAACTTCCAGCTGGAGGCAGCTGGGCACCAGCACCCATATATAAGTGGGAAGTTGAAACAAATCTGACCCAGGTTACAGAACAGTAGCAGTAGCAGTGCTTGGAGTCAGAAGGTCCTGACCCCCACGGACCATCCCTCCTCCTCTGGGTGAAGAGAGCTCCTATCTGACAGATGAGCTCTGAGTTTGGTCCATTGTTGTATTCAGATTAACCCCATTTTAGAACATTTCAAAAGCAGCCACCAAGGATCCCAGACAGCCTTGAGGAAGAAGTACAAAAAAGGTGGGGGAGGAAATTCATAGAGAAGGTACAGACAAGCAAATGCAAATCTGTGCAGGACTCAGGGAATGCAGGGAATGGAAATGAACTCCTATAACTACCCTCACACTTCACATGCAGGTCACCTGCTGATGGTCAGAGCTTCCCAAATCAGACCTGCCCAGGGCTCAGGCCATCAAGAAACTCTTCCCCTTCCAATTCTTAAGTGCTGCCAAGTCTGTAAAAAAAAAGGGCTCCCTTTTCTTTTTGTGATTTCTTGGTTGGTCTAGTACAAGGTATCATCTCTGAACAAAGAGTTCTAGAGTTTTGCATTGCTCTCTTTTCCTGCCTTCTCCTGTAGGAGTTGAGCATGTGAAAAGACCATGTAGGCACAGGGCCGTCACTCCATGGGCTCTTTTCAGTGCTCCTGCTGAGAAAGAGCTCTGATCAACTGCACAGAAAAACACAGAGGGGCTGAAATGCAGAACAAAAACATTCCTACATTACAGGGAATGGCCTATGGGCCTGTGTATCACTGACCTTCAGTTCTCAGTGTTGAACCTGGGACTTCCAAAGCCCACAGCCCTGAGGCTACTGCCATGTTAGTAGGATTTCAAGGACTATAGGCCCAAGAGTTCCCAGCTACAACCAGAGTCCCACTGTGGATAGAGAGCCCATACCCAGTAGGGTTTTCAACCCCAATAGACAAGCCAGACAATGGCCTTGGGCCCGCACTGTTTAATATCTTCATCAGTGACTTGAACAAGGGGATGGAAAGCACACTGTCCAAGTTTGCTGATGACACTAAGATGTGGGGCGAGGTGGACGCACTTGAAGGGAGAGAGAGGCTGCAAATAGATTTAGACAGACTACAAAAGTGGGCAGATGAGAATAGAATGGGCATCAACATAGACAAATGCAGGGTGCTGCACCTTGGGAGAAGGAATCCACAGCACACACACAGGCTGGGGAGTTCCCCTCTTGAAAGCACACAGGCGGAAAGGGATCTTGGAGTCATTATTGACTCCAAGATGAACATAAGCCACCAATGCCAGACTGCAGCCAGCAAGGCCAGCCACAGATGCATCTCAAGCCAGTTCAGAGAGGTGATACTCCCCCTCTATGCGACTTTGGTCAGGCCGCAGTTGGAGTACTGAATCCAGTACTGGGCGCCACACTTCAAAAGGGATGTGGCCAGCCTGACCTGGACCTGCTCAGCCTCAGCAAGAGGAGGCTGAGGGGGGACCTGGTGGCTGCCTACAAACTCATCAGGGGAGATCAACAGGAAATAGGTAGAGTCCTTTTCTCCCCAGCACCACCTGGGGTGACAAGGAACAATGGTAATAAGCTGATGGTGAATAAGCTTAGGTTAGAGATCAGAAGGCAATTTTTTACAGTTAGGGTGGCCAAAATCTGGAATCAACTACCCAGGGAAGTGGTCCTCGCCCCTACCTTGGGCAAATTCAAGAGGAGGTTGGATGAGCACCTGTCTGGGGTCTTGTGAACCCAGCATTCATTCCTGTCTGTGGCAGGGGGTCAGGCTATATGATCTGTTCAGGTCCCTCCTGACCCTAGCTACTATGAAACTATGAAACTATGGGGGAAAGGGACACTCCAAAGGTCACCCAGCAGGTCTTTGGCAGAGCTGTGTGGAGCCTGCAGCTCTCTTGACTCCTAGTCTAGTATCTCCCAGCCCTGCGCTGGTTTCTATGCCCCATACCAGTTCTCCAGCACTGGGTGCTGGGGTTGTCCTTCAGACATGTCTAGTGCAGTTCAATGGGTTGCTGTGCTCATCACCCAGCCAGTCATCCCTCTAACCTTTTCAGGCTGACAGGCCAGGTTGAGGAGTCCTTGCAGTGCTAGCCAGCGAACTAGGAGCTTTTGGTTGCTCAGCTGCCATCTCAGCCTCAGGACAACCTCTTCCAGCTGGTAACTGAGATCAGCGCAGTGGAGAAGCTAAAGTACAAGCAAAAGAGGCAGGTAGTAAGTGGGGCTATTCCCGGGTGACCTGCCTGCATCATGGGGCCTGCTATCACATGCAGTGTGGAAGCAGCATGGGCACATCATTCTGCTGTAAAGGTCACTCTCAAGACCTGACCTGTCCTGATCCTAGGACCCCACTTAGCCAGCGGTGGTTTCTGGGCCTAGGTTGCAGATAGTATGTGAATGTGCGTATGAGTCCACATATGAATTTCTTATACCCGATCATGTCCATTATGAAGTAAACTGAGAGCCAGAGAACCTGAGAGCCCACAAGGCTCATTGACTGGCACAAGCACTGCAGCCTGGGAAGCGTCCACCTAGACAGAAAGAAGGGGACGGAGTTTGAGTAGCCCTGGGACATGTGCCACCTGCCTGCAAGGCTCACCTCAACAAGGAAAGCCAAGGCTGAGAGGTGCTGGGTCTTGTCCCTGCTCCTTAGGACATTCAGGAGGTGATGGATCATCCAGGAGCGCTCTTCAACAGGGTTCCTCTGCATTGCTCTGGCATGGGAAACACCAACACCCTTGTTACAAAAGCAGACAGGGGCTTTGCTTTGCTGGTTTTCACTGATACATATGGTTAGCAATATCCCACAGGACAGGGTGACCAAAAGGTGACCCTCCACTGGCACAAGCCATTTCCTGTCCAGTCAAAATCTTCCCATGTTTGTGTGCTGCAGACCCAAGCCCTAAGTCACTCTACAAGGGAAGTCCATCCCTAGAACACATCCAATCAAGCAGCCTTGGGACTGAGAGAAAAGCAGGACATGCACAGTAGGGCTTCAGTGGGTCAAAACCAATCCCTCTTGGATGATCAGGTATTCTTGCATCTTTCCCCAGTTGTACTTGGTCCCACCAGATCTTGCCTCAGTGCTACAGCAGCAGCATCTCTAAGCCTTTCAGCACAGGACAGATTTTCTACAGATGATTTCCATTCTTCTCAAAGAACCCCGTGGCCACTAGCACCAAAGCTGCAGCCTGCTTCTTGGTGTTAGTGGGAAGCCTGCCTCTTCAATCAGGGAAGAGAAGCTTGTAGAGGTCCCCATAGCCCAAAGAGGAGGATCAGAGAAAACAGCAGGTAGGGGACAAGGCTCTCACCTGGCAAGCAAGCCAACACCTCTGTGGTGTGCCTCAAAGTTCATCATCATGTCCCAGCCCCCCTGCTTCTGGATGGAGATGATCTGCTCCACATAGCCAGCCCCTTGCAGCAAGGCTTTCAGGTCACCCACTGCAGACCTGCATTCAGAGCAGACCCCAGGTCACAGACCCTGAGCCCTGGGCCAGCTCTGGGCAAGCGAAAGATGTTGTGCTGGGGTCAGTGGAAGTGTACAAGAGGCTTGGGATGGAGCACCTGACAGGGGTGGCTGGGATGGGCATCTTCTGGCTCCGGTACTCCCCCCAGAAGAAGTTGATGCCCTGAGGTTCTGGTTGGACCAGGTGGGCGAGCCGAAAGAGCAGGGCCATGCAGAGCTGTGGGTAGTGTGCCTGCACCTCCTGCTGGCAGGCTGGATGCAAGAAGCTCTTGGACAAGTGGCTAGTCACCTGCAAAAAAAGGCAAAAGACATAGAGGTCACCGCAAAAGCCATTCCCCCTACTTCCCCCACCTCCCCCCATTATTAATGAAAAAGGAAAGTCAGGAAGTTTAGTCATTAGACTGTTGCTCTGGAAATCTGAGATCAGTTCCCTGCTCTGCCACAGACTCCTGATGTGGCCTTCAGCAAATTATGTAGCCTCTCAGGATTCAGCTTTTCCTGGAACTAGGGACA